CTGTAAAGCGCCTTGAGTGGAGTGTCCAGAAAAGTGCTATATAAGTGTAAGTTATTATTATCATCATCACCTAATCCACTTCAATACGGAGAAAAAGAGCAAAGAAGGAGAAAACCCGACCGTCCAGGTGAAACTCCAGTGTCTCCTGCATCTTTAACAGCTCTCACCGCCGCCGGTTCTGCAGCCAAACACGTCTTTTACACAGAAACTAGTGATGAAGAAATGTTCCGGCATGACGCCACATATTTCTGCCGTATTTACAAATATGCAACAATAAAATCATAACGAGCAAGTCTCTGTCCCATTCATAATAATAATAATAATAATAATAATAATAATAATAATAATAATAATTGCTTACACTTATATAGCGCTTCATTCATGGTGATACTGTGCAATGTCCCCAATAATACAAGCAGCAACATCCTGTTCCATAATCCCAGGAACACAGTGAGACAGGAGGGGTTTCAATGTTTTCTCTTAAATTGGAAAAAGACAAGTAAAGCAACGCACATGAGCGCGGAGGAGGAATATGGATGGATACTGCATCTGTCTGCTCGACAAACGATGTCCAGTTCTTGGGTCAATGTTCCTAATGAGATCGGGCTGGTTTTTGTTTTGTAATAAGATGTAAACTTGACATTTTCGTGAATAATAAAAATACGTCTTAAAAGTTATTTTTTCATTCTATAACATTTGATTCACCGTTTCTCTTCCGTTTTCCTTCAACATTTCATTTGCTCTCAGATTTTTCATGACTTAAATTCCCGTCCTGTTGCCGCGTGCCTTTAAAAATGCGTCTGTGTGACTGGGCTGATTGTAATACACATCGCACTATAAAATAACTTCTAGGAGTTTGCGAACACATGTGCGTTAATTGCGCACGGTGTAGTTTGTAGAATACCACTTGCGCAGCGCCCCTCCTCTTCCCCTGCGCTGGATGACGTCTTTCTAACGAATTTCCGGCTCGGCGGTCGACAACAGGAAAATAACAGAAGAGGCCTGAACTTTTCTTCTGGGCTAAGACAAGCATCCCTGTCGGCATGGGAGGGGGCGATCTGGTAGGGTTTCTGCGATTTATTTACTACGGGGAAGTTGTTGTCTGTTAAGCAGATAATTGGTTTTTCCGGCAGTGACGAGTGCGCGATGTTCGGGAGACCCGAGCCTGGGCCTAGTGATTCTGGTGCCGTTTCGAGCGGTTTCCCACTCGAACAGAAGAGAAGCCTTTCTTCGCGAGTATAGTATGTCCGCAAACTGGCGCTGGAAGACGGAGCCCAGTGTGTAGCTGTGCTCACCGAGCGGTGTTATCCGTGAGGTCTGGAGCTGGAGGGCGCATCCTGAGCTGCTGTCGACACCTGTCACAGGGTTAATCGGGGGTGGTTACCCAGTAGTCGTAGTAACTATCCAGATTTTATTGAACAGTTAATAAAATATACATGGGCGGTGTGGTGGCTCTGTGGCTATGGATCTGCGCCTGTGGCTGGAAGGTTGCCGGTTCGTATCCCGCGGCCGGCAGAGGAATCCTACTCCGTTGGGCCCCTGAGCAAGGCCCTTAACCCCAACTGCTCCAGGGGCGTCGTATAAATGGCTGACCCTGCGCTCTGACCACAAGCTTCTCTCTCCCTGTCTGTGTGTCTCATTGTGAGCAAGCTGGGGTCTGCGAAAAAGACAAAATTCCTAATGCAAGAAATTGTATACGGCCAATAAAGTGATCTTAATAACAAATGCTTTTTCCCAAATAGAGAGCCTCACTTCTTGGGTACATGTAGGTAAACAGTGATGAAGTGATGTCATACTGGGGAAAGACCTGCTGGGGTCGGTTCCCATGGCGACACAGGTGATGACTGATTTGTCATCACAGGGAGCATCAGGGGGCACCAGGATCTCTGTTGCTTCCCCTGCTCCACTCTGTCTTCATTGATGTGACACGAGTGCATGTGTGCAGTAAATGAAACCTTTAAAATAAGCCCTCCCTCCCTGTGACAGAACCTGAAGAAGAGCTGGCACCCCCAGACTCTGAAGAACATCGAGCGCGTGTGGAAGGCGGAGCAGCGCCATGAGGCCGAGCGCAAGAAGATCGAGGAGCTGCAGAAGGAGCTGCGGGAGGAGAGGGCGAGGGAGGAGATCCAGCGCTACGCGGAGGAGACGGGTGCTGTCAAGTGAGGACCTGCAGCCCTGGTTTACTGTCGCTCTGTCCCTCTGGTCTTATAGATAGACACTTTATTGATCCCGTGAGGGAAATTGCAGTGCAACAGCAGCTTAACACAGACAACACAGCCACAGTGTAACGAATGATACAATAATAATAATACAATACAATCAGTACAGTGAGGGGTGCACTAAAAGAGTTACTCACAGTCCAGGACACACAAAGAACAAACCAGAACAGTACACAAAAAGTTGTATTGCACAATATAAGTATAAATATAAATGTATTGCACAACTCCATGGCATATATTGCACAGAAACGGTTGTAAACGGGAAAGCCAGATGTAGCAGACAGTTTACTGTTCAGTTCAAAAACAGGTCAATGTTATATGCCCCCCTCTCCTGGCCGTTTGCTTCCCCCCAGTGCCTCACCTGTCCCCCTCCGTCTCCCTCTGTTTCTCTTCCTCCCTCGCCTGCTCCCCTGCCTCTTGGCTTCATGCACCCGCGTGGCGCCTGCTGTCCTAAACGGGCGCGCCTGTCCCACAGGAAGAAGGATGACCGGCTGGACTGGATGTACCAGGGGCCTGGGGGCCAGGTGTCCCGCGATGAGTACCTGCTGGGCCGCCCCATCGACAAGCAGATCACCCAGCAGTACGAGGAGCCCGACAGCGGCCCCTCTGCCCAGACGGGTCTGCTGCCCGGCTCCATCTTCAACCCCCCCTCTGCCGCCAACGCCCACGACATTGCTGCGAAGATCCGTGAGGACCCCCTCTTCCTCATCCGGTGAGCCCGAGAGCTGAGGCTGTGGACTGAGGACGGCAGGGAAGCATAAACTGAAAGAAACACAGCACGGACAGAAACCACATCGAAGAGAAATGTGCAGATCAATGTGGGAAAGGGGAAAACAGGAAATACTATTTCAAAGCCTGGCTGAACAGATGAGTCTTTAGTCTAGACTTAAAGACTATAAAAGAGTTTCCGTTTCTCAGATGGGAGGGGGGTGAGTTCCAGAGCTGTGGAATAACGAGACTGGACGTGTGTGGCCAGAGATGCTTGTACTCATAAGAAGGGGATACTAAAAGCTTCTTGAGCAGAGTGTAAGACCCTGCTGGTTGTGTAGGCAGAGTAATGAGAGGCTGAACTAACAGGCAAGAGAGCCTGAATGTCCTTAAGAAAATTGTAAATGACTGTGAGTTTCACACATCTGTCCCGTTTACCAGCACAGAGCTGGACACGGCCCATTCCAGCCAAGCGTCTCTTCTTCAGTCTGACGCCTTGCAGGGGCTGCAGGTGACAAGATGGAGACGGCTTCAGCTCCAGCTTCTCCAGTTTTTAAATTTTACCTCTTCCAGTTCTGCTGTTTCAGTTGTGAACTTTTTTTTCAGTAAACGGGAAGAGGACAGAAAGAGAGAGGTGCTGACCAACCCTGTCAAGATGAAGAAGATCAAGGAGATGGTAAGAGTCTCTGCACACACCCCCGTCTCTCGCTCCAGCCATCTGCAGCTCTCAGTTCAGATTGCGTGGTTTTAGCTGTCCTTCACCACTGCTGTCTCTCCCCAACAGCTGCAGAAAAACCTGGAGAAGAAGAAAAAGAAGAAGGATAAGAAAAAGAAGAAGCACAAGAAGCATCGCCGGCATAGCTCGAGCGAAGAGGACTCCAGTAGTGACGAGGAGCAGCCATCCAGGTGTGGCTACGACCCAGCCTGCCTGTGCCTCTCTGTGTGCCTGTCCCTCTGTCTCTCCTGTGGCCTGTCCTTGCAGAGGAGTGATGAACCCATATCTGTCTTTCAGGTCTCGACGGAGAAGTACCAGCCCCTCCCCGCCCTCCTCACTGCCTCGCCTGCCTGGGTACGGCCTTCAGGTGAGTGCTGCCATCACGCTTCCACAGAAGGTTCCCCTGCACCTTCAGTTCACTAACCAAGTCTTCGGATCCCCTTATTCTAATATTCAGCTGAGTCACAGGGTTTACATATCAAATTCCGTCTTATATCACATAAATATTTGAAGGCAGGGGTCTCCTTCCCTGGTGCTGGAGAGCCCCAGTCCCCTGAATCAATCCCCTGAAATTGTAGGTCACCCTGACCTGGCAACATGTATAGGTAAGCAATCAATTAAGCAACTGAGTTCCTTGAATGAGGAAACTGTGGCCCTGGAGAGATTAAATTAATTCTTCCATACAGTCTCTGAATTTCTTTATGTACCGTACACCTACAACTGCAAGCCGGATTCTCAGGCTTTGATTAATTGTCCGCTTGATTGACTTTTTTTCTACTGTTGAATCTTGTGCTCCTACAGTTGCCGGCCAGCAGGAGTCGCCAGCGTGCAGCGTCTCCGGACCAGGAAGCAGCTGCAGGGCGGTCAGGGCTCCAGGGTCCGAGCCGCTCGCCACACAGGAGCTCCAGCCACGGCACGCAGTGAGCTGTCGCCCTCTCCTGCCCCCGCCTGCACAACTTTAGAAAGCACTTCCAAACTTTTTTTTGTCAGGGTTTTATATAGTAATTATAATAATAATAATTAATAATTGCTTACAGAAATTTGGCCAGGACACCCGGGTTACACCCCTACTGTTTTCGAGAAACGCACTGGGATTTTTTTAATGACCAAAGAGAGTCAGGACCTCGGTTTTACGTCTCATCCAAAGGACGGCCCCTGTTTACAGTATAGTGTCCCCGTCACTATACTGGGGTATTAGGACCCACATGGACCGCAGGGCGAGCGCCTCCTGCTGGCCCAACTAACACCTCTTCCAGCAGCAGCCTTAATTTTTCCCATCCAGGTACTGACCAGGCTCACGCCTGCTGAGCTCCAGTGGGCTGCCAGCTGTGAGCTGCAGGGTGATATGGCTGCTGCCTATGACTATGACTGTCTTTTTGGTAAACTTGGTGAAATAAAACAGTAGTTGAGAATTTTAACAGAACATCTGCTTGCTGGACCACTGCCTGTTGGACGGTGGATGTGTGCGCTGCTATCAGGTGCTGAACCTGAGCGTTTTTCCCCCCTGCCTGCAGCGCCCGCGGCGACAGGGAGCAGAAGCACCGGGGCCAGAGCCCCCCGCCCCCCCGGCACCGCGCTCACCGGCAGCAGGGCTCCAGCCACACCAAGTAAGTGAGCGTCTCCCGCGGCGCGGGGCCGGCTGCGCTCGGCCTCGGCTGCCTCTGAGCCCCCTGTTCCTGTCCGCCCCAGGCGGCTGTCGGCCGAGGAGCTGGAGAGGAGGCGGCGCGAGATGATGGACTTCGCCCGCTGGCGGGACGAGGAGCGGGCTGGCAACGTGGAGCGGTACCGCGAGGAGGAGGAGCAAGAGAAGGCCCAGGAGGCGCAGTGCAGCCGAGACGACAAGTTCATCCGGTGAGTCACGCCGCCGCCGCCGCCGCCGCCGTGCTGGCTGGGGCGGGGGGCTCCCCGACTCCCTGCAGGGCTCTCACTCCTGCTCTTTCCTCCCGCCTCGCTCCGACACAGAGACATGAAGCTGCAGAGCGCCTCCACCTCCTCTCTGGAGGACCGGGTGAAGAGAAACATCTACTCCCTGCAGAGGACTCCTGCGGCGCTGGAGAGGAACTTCATGAAGAGGTAGCGGAGGGAAGCAAGGGACGGCGTGAGCGCGACGGGGAGAGACGCGTCTCAGGTTTCGGAGTAGATATGGTATCCCAGGTCCCTGTGTTCCCCACTGCCGTGTCCTGATAGCGTGTTGGGAGCAGCCAGCAGGCAGCACTGTCCAGTCCGTCAGCCTGCATTCTGTCCTGCCTGTTCATGGTGTCTAGCAGCATGGAGGCAGACCTGCAGCAGGCTTTCTGACACCTGAACGCGGCACAGATCAGAAGGGTTTTGCTGAATACCGCTGAGATTACAATCCACGGTTTTTGGTACCTCCAGCTGTAATGTTACAGAACAAGATAAGATAAAGTAATAGATACTTTTACTGTATGTGATAGCAAAGCCCAACCCAGTGAGTGTGTGGTTTAACAGCCTGTGTGCTGGTGTTGTACCTGACACTCAAGGGACCGGAGTCACGGAGAACAGTGTTCAAAAGGAAATGCCTGCAGATTCAGATCAGTGTCTCTTGGTTATAACTAACAGTCTAGTTTGGTTAATTGTTTCTTAAATTGAGGAATCCATTATTTTTTCCAGAAAGTCAAATTGAACCTTGTGGACAGATAGGGCTCTTTCCTGCTCAATGCTAAATTCTGTAAGTGTTGCAGAAAAACAACAGGTCCGTCTCCACAGCTCACTCCTCGTCCCCAACTTTCAGGCTGCTGTGTCCTCTGGGACAATGTCAGGCTTCCAGAGCATTTTGCTTGTTAGATTGGCAGCTTGTCTCTGCAGGTATCTCTGCGAGTCAGTTTGAGCAGAAGAGCAGGAGGGCGGCTTTGTGATTCTGGACAGAGTGTTCCTTCATTCAGGGAAGAAAAGACTCGTATTTCCTCCTGAGATTCATTTTGATATATTTTATACAGGACAGTTTTTTTTTTTACAAATCTGAGATACTAATACAAATACTGTCAAAGCCGGCTTTGTTTGCAGTATTTATTCTGGACCTTGGTTTGGTTTTTTCAGAGATGCATGGGAGTTTATTCAAATGTGTACATCTGCGTGTTAAGAATTTAATTTCTCACCTCCAGACTGTGGACCTCTCACTGTTTCAGTTGTCTCAAGCGTTGTTGTATTATAATCAAGAGCTGTCTTTCTTTTTCCTGGAACATTACTGTAAGACAATGCAAACAGCACCATGTAAGAATATTGCTTTTAAAGATTAAATTTTAGTTATGTCCTGTGTCAGTTGTCTTAATGTCTTCTTGCAGTACGCAGTCTTCTTGCTGAAGTCGAGAATGGTCCATGTTGCAAAGTTCACACAAACTTCACATATGTTCAGTATGTACATGCTTGCCTGCTCCTAAAGGTTTAGTGCTCACCTGTTTCTAGAGTACTGAGCAGACTGACAGCACAAGACGGGTCTAAACTCCTCCTCAGGTCAGCACCCCAGCAATGCAGCTGCCTTTTCAGACAGCTGGGTGGACAGAGCGATCAGGGCAGAGAAAGCGAGTCAGTGATTCCACACTGTGGCCAGAGTCAAAACGTGTCTTCAAGTCTTAAGACAGCATTCTAAGATGGGGGGCTGTCCACCCCTGGTGCTGGAGTGCCCCAGTCACATGTCCACATACGCCCGCATACAAAGGTCACCCTGAAGAGCTAGTTTTCAGATAGTGGTCCTCACACTTCACCCCTAAGCTGTGATGGGCAGCCTTGGTTTAAATTGTCCTGTTCAGTGCTGTATAGAGGAGCTGTACAAAGACCATGAACTGTGATTGCTCCTGAGAGGTGGTGGTGTTTATATGTCTTAATTCAATTAAAAATACTTTATACTTGGAGGGGGGAATCAATTTAATTGATGTGTCCTGCTACTGTCTGCAAAGTGTATTGGGGCAAAAGCAGGTTTGTCTGTTTTGTGGAATGAGGATGGCAATTATATGGGCAACAAACCTGCCTCATTTTAGAATATAGATAGGTTACAAAGGAGAAGGTGCCAGTCAGCCTGTCTGTGTGACTGATAGAAAGGTATTGATCCAGATGTCCTCTACAGCTGTCCTGCTGTTACAGAGAAGTTCCCCAAGACATCAGCTTCAATAACAAGGGTTCAGGACATAGCTCCAGAAATTTTCTGTGTAAAGAAGTGTCTCCTGTTTTCTGGCTTTAACACTTCAGAACTTAATCTTGGGTAGAAAAAACACAAACATGCCTGGCTCATCATGGAACTTATTTTCAGTAATTGTGATCAGATCTATCAGTTGAATGGAAATTCTTATTTTCTGCGACAGCCTGGGAGCCTTGCGGCCGTATGCTGTGATGAATTCGAACCCTTGCATTGCAGAGGTTAGTGCCCAGCTCTGCTGCTGCTGCTTGGACCTCTCCTTATTTCTGAAGTTCAGAGATGAGGGGGTTAATCTCTAACTGTTTGATGGTCAGGAAGAAGCTCTCTTGTGTATCAGTGTCCTTCGGTCTGAGGTGCAGCTTCAGCAGCTTTGAGCTCTTTATTTCTCGCTCCTGTGTTTTTTTTCTTTATAAGTCACGTTTTTCTCACGCTTGATGTAAAACCTGCTCGCTTGCACCCCACCCCGCCCGCTGCCCGAGTCCCAGGCGCACCGTCGCGCTGAGTCTCGGGCGATCAGAGCCGTGAGCAGGCGAGGCGGCCTAGTTACAGCGGGACTCTCGGGCCGTCCGAGCAGAGCGGGTTCAGAGCACAGTCCAGCTAAACTCAGGCTCGCCCATCACTGTCGCAGCGACTCTGGCGCTGGGCAGCGAGGAAGGGCCCGTCTGGGGGAATCCCTGCGCTCACGGTGCCCGCGCTCGGCCACTAGAGGGCGCTGCACTCCCCTCCACCTCCGCCGCTTGAGGGGGCGCTCGAGCTCCGTCTCCGCCCGCCGCCATCTTGGAGACCCCGAGTCTGGTAACAACAGCCGGCGAGAAGGGACGCGTCAATATGGAATTTAAATATCAGGAATAAACATCTTTTCTTCCACGCTCGCTCGTTTCCCTGTCCGTGAGCCGATATCGAAGCAGCGGGGAGCCGTGGGTGTTCCGGGACGAGTCGCCCCGTTACAGACGGAGGCCGGAGGGAGCGAGAGACCGAGCACCGAGCCCCGGGACCGGAGGAGCGGCTCACGGCGCAACATGCAAGCCCGCTGAATTACTAAAATTTCGTCGCCTTTTCTCTTTCGCACTGAAGATCTACGGCGGCGGCGGCGGCGGCGGAGGAGCCTGGTGTTCGCTGTACAAAAAAAGGAGTTTCCTTTTCGGATTCCTGCTCTCCCCCTTCTGCAAATCGCATCAGTAATAACCAAGAGAAGCGATAATAACGCGTTTGAAACATGTCTTCGAATTGCACCAGCGCTGCGCCGGTGAGCGCCAGCAAAACCAAAACAAAAAAGAAACATTTCATAGGCCAGAAAGTGAAATTATTCCGTGCCAGCGAGCCCATCCTCAGCGTTTTAATGTGGGGGGTCAATCACACGGTAAATCATCTCTCATTCTGCAGCCCGGGGCAGGAGGGGGCTCGTTGTGCGCCCCGCCGGGAGTGGGGCGGGGCGGCTGGGGTGTCTGTCCGTGTCCCCTCGGCCGAGTCAGTGTGGTGCCGGGCTGTGGTAATGAACACGCCTCTCCCCCGGGGGAGGGGGCGGTGTGAACCCGCAGCCGGGCCAGCCGGGGTGGGTGGGTCACTCGGGTCGGGCTGCATGTGTCTGCAGCTCGGAGGAAAGCGCTTTTCTGCATCGTTTTGTGTTGCGTCTGCAGTAGGAAACACCAGCTCGTTCAGGACGGGGCTGACAGCAGTGCGCAGGGGCTCTGGCTGGACTGGGGATTGGGTCTGTCCAGCCGTAACTGGTTGCTTTGTTTTCAGTTTGTCCTTTTAAGGATGGTGAAACTTTTCCGAAGTTGTGTGGCTGCAGACTGTTGTTCTAAAACTTCACCAGTGAAAGGGGGTTGATTGATGAACCCCAAGGGCATCAGGGGTTCGGGGGCGGTACAGAGCCCCCTGTCAACGGGGGTGAAGGTGGGCATCAGAGGGACAGGCAGGCAGCTCTGTCTGTTCCTCGGTCTGCGGAGGTGCTGTCCGTGCTGGCCTGCCTTGCTTGAACCCGCGCCGGTGGGAGGAATTATTCTCCTGCTTTCGGCCTCCATTGCCAGAGGATTCCAGGGGAGGTGAAGGACCACAGTCTGCAGCCCAGTGGAGCTGTATTTCCGAGCGGCACCTGGCTGTGTAACGGTCAGGGATTTGCATGGAAGCGAATGGAGAAGCAGGTTTTGCATCCCTGCCCTCAGCTGCCTTCCTGCAGCCTGTATGTGACAGCAGCGCTGGCCAGTCATTATTCCAGGCAACCTAGGCCACCTTATACTGGTAGCTTCATTGGTTGTTGAGAAGACTGGTGTGAGTGTGCCCTGTGGTGGTCGGGCGTTTGGTCCACCCTGCCTTTCGCCTGTTGCCTGCTGGGATAGGCTCCCGCTCCCCAGCGACCCTGAATTGGGTGGAAGAGGTTGGAAACTGCGCGGGCGTGTTCGCTGGCGTCCAGCTGCGTGATTCCGTTGCTGTACTGAGGAGGCTCTCACTGCTACTGCCCTGCCGTCCGTCATGCCAGCTCCGAGCTGCAGCAGTGAGACGGGAGGAGCAGGGTTTATTACAGGGCTGTTGCAGGTTCAAGGTCCAGTGCTGTCCAGGGTGAATTCTGTCAGCTGCACCTCCTGCTGACCTCCAAAGCCACTTCTTGGGTGTTAGGCATCAGTGATTTCTGCTGCAGACTAGCTTGCAGTGACAGAGCTGTGGGGTCAGAGGTCAGCGCCCCCTGCTGCTTTGCTGCTGTGTAGAGCTCCTGTGCAGACAGAACTCCGTGCGGAGTCGCTCACTGAGAGCTGCTGCCTTGGCTGCTCCTTGCCACTGGTCTGGACACAGCAGAACCCAGAGATCTCTCAGCTTCTGCTCTCGTGCCCCTCCCTCCATCTCCCCTGCTGTTTCTCTGTCCATGTCTTGCTCTGTTGGCGGATTTTTAGTATCCCAGCATAGGTGTGTCCCCAAAAAAAGGAAGGGGAAGGAAGTTGCGTAGCCCGCTGCCCGCAAAGAGAGGGCAGAGTGGCCGCACAGAGGCGGCCTGGTGTCGCCCCTCTGCTGCGTCCCCGGAGATCCGCCGGACGACAGACAGCGAATCTGCAAGGAAGGCCACATGAGGAGTTCTGTGTGACTTTTGAGTCCCGATCACTGGTATGAGGGCGGAGCGGTGGCTCTGTGGATCTGCGCCTGTGGCTGGAAGGTTGCCGGTTCAAATCCCGCAGCCGGCAGAGGAATCCTACTCTGTTGGGCCGCTGAGCAAGGCCCTTAACCCCAACTGCTCCAGGGGCGCTGTACAATGGCTGTACAATGACAATGGCTGCGCTCTGACCCCCAGCTTCTCTCCCTGTCTGTGTGTCTCATGGAGAGCAAGCTGGGGTCTGCGAAAAGACAAATTCCTAATGCAAGAAGTGCAAATGCAAGAATAAAGCAACATTATTATTATTATTATTATTATTATTATTATTATTATTATTATTATTATTATTATTATGATTATTATTGGCAGAGTTTAGGTTTGCAGTTGTCGTTGGTCTTCACCTGTTCAGTTTCAGATCCCCGGCCTCAGGGGATTAGAGCTGCACACCCTGAGGTCCTGCACTGGGCCTGTCCCAGGGGCAGAGAACAGAGCAGGGCGGAGGGAAGAAAAATATTCGCTTTTTTTATCTTTATGCTTTATGTTTATGTGCTTTATGAGGGCCCAACAGAGTCTACCTCAGTGATGTGGCCGGGCGGCTTGTTCAGACATCCAGCACTTTTTGTGTAAAGACCTCATTCCTGCTCTCATTTCAAAATGCACTGTTTGTATGTGTGTGTCGGTCCTGGCTGTGAGGGAGTTCTTTAGAACTGACAAGGGTTAACTTGCAGGATTTGTGATGCTTGTCTTCTGCCATTGACCTGCACTCACTTAAACAAGAATGTAGGGGTGATTTCCAGAACTTTATCAGACAGCAGGGGCTCCTGGTCTCAGGTGTCCTGGGTCAAATCAGTGCTGCTAGAGGTTGCTTCTCCCTTTCTGCCACCAGCAGGAAGTTCTGTTGTGGGGGTTAAGTTCACCAGGAATGGAAGTTAGCAATTCGGATTCTGGTGTTGTTACTGCAGGATGCAGCAGAGCAAAGTCAAGGATATGCACAAATGTGCAGTTTGTATGTCTCTCTGCCGTGTGCATGTTTAAATTGTTTAACTGTGGAGAAATCCAGTGGGGCGGAAAAAATCATAATCATGTAAAAAAGCTGTACGTTCTGTATAAAGAGTTTCATCTGTGCTGATTTGTAGTCCTTTCCTTCCAGATCAATGAGTTGAGCAACGTGCCTGTCCCAGTCATGCTGATGCCTGATGATTTTAAAGCCTACAGCAAGATCAAAGTGGACAACCACCTATTCAACAAGTGAGTGCTGTTTAATTAGTGACCTCAGACTCCTTTTTGCAGAAATGCATTAGCGTGTGGCTCGAGTTCATTTCAGAAACGGGGTACCTTGACCTGCAGTGAATTAAGCACCTGATGTGCAGGATAATTCTTCTTGATGTAGTTTTTCTTTGTGCGATAAAGTGTATTGAAGCTCATCATTTAGCCTTCAGGGCAGGCAGGCAGTGCACAGCCTCTCTGGGCTGGAGGAGAGTGAGTGTCTGACTGCAGTGCCCCCGCAGCACGGTGCTGTTTCAGCCATGGGTCCTTCCCTGTCCTGTGGCAAGTGCAGGTGCAGCACAGAGCTGTGAAACTGGGATTCCCTTTCCTTCATTGTGGGAGGGTGTGGCAGTGGTGCAGGGGTGGGCGTGGCGGAGCATGGTGGTTGTGGCAGGTGAGCATGGGTGGGCGTGGCAGAAGAACAAGGTTTCTCCTGCGGCCTCTCTGTAGAGTACAGTGGACTCAGAAAGATCCCATAGAGTTTAAACGTGAGCTGAAGCCAACTGTGTTTTCTGCCCCTCAGAGAGAACCTGCCCAGCCGGTTCAAGTTTAAGGAGTACTGTCCCATGGTGTTTCGCAACCTGAGAGAGAGGTTCGGGATCGATGACCAGGACTACCAGGTACGACTACGGCACCACCTGTGTGTGTCTGTCCGGCGTTGTGGCTGAAGCCAGGGCTCTGGATACTTGTAGACTTTGACCTAGTCGTTGCTGTCAGCTCCTCTGCTCACAAGTGTCTTTCATACCCACGTCATCTCTGTTTCTTGGTACATTTGCACCTATTAACATAAGGCTAAACAGTCTAGTGGTTCTCTATTACTCACAGAGACGAGCTCTAAAAAAAGCTCACTCGGTGCTCTTGCTAGGAGGATCCTGGTTCAAGTCCCCAGGCTGTGCCACTGACTCACCTTGCATCCTTGTGACTGGACCTCTTGTGCTTCTTCTTGCAAGGAGATTTACAAACTCAGATCCTGTTGGTCCCCCACCCCGGTCCATGAGTTGCTTTTAGCAGATTACTAGCCTTACTTTCTGGAGGAACAGTCAGCATTGTTACTGTGCTGGGGGTGGAGGTGATCTTGGTTCCTGTGAAACTGCCGAAACCACTTCAGCAGCCCCCCCCCATGCAGGAAGAGTTTGAATCATTTCTGCTTTTCCATGTGGTGCAGAATAGGAAATACTCTCTTGCGTGTGATTGGCTGAGCTCATAGCAAGCTGGGAAGTTTTCAGGCTTTTTAGGGCAACTGTGACAGGCAGCTGCTGCCCTTTTCTATAGGATTTATTTCTATAAGGAGGTGCTACTGCGCCTGTTTTCTGCTGACGGTTGTGTTTGTGAAGAGGAGCCCTGGGATCGAAGGGGGGCTCTGGTTTTCCTGCTGGGGTTGTGACAACAGGATGTAGGTCTCAGAGTTCTGTGCTGATCTCCCAGGTGAACAGGAAGCATTAACATGGGCCTGTCTGCGGCCTTTGTGTACTGTTACTGAGTTTGTGGCTCTAGTGTCATTCCTGTTTGCCTCGAAGCTCATAGATGCCTTTTACAGGCAAGAGCTGCGGTTCTGCTACTCTCAGACATTCTCTTTTCACACCTGTCGAACTTGAAAAGCTTCCCACTCACCTCATGCAGTCCCCCTGTGAGCTGTCTGCTGTCTCTAGTTCAAACACTGAATGTGTAACACGACATGCTATATATAAAACAATAATGTATTAATTTTATTGTTATCCTACATTACTTTTTCAAAAGTACGTAGCACACCAGTTAAAGTCCAAAGGCCCAGTTGCCGAAAAGCTCTTATTTCAGAAGACCTGTGCACCTGTGCCATGGGTGGAACCATGAGATGGTTATATTCTGTTGACAAAGCTTTAATTTTCTGACTGAGCGGGCACGCTGCTGTTCTGCAGGATTTACCGCAGTAGTTGTTTGTATCTGTGGCAAGTGTGGATCTTGAAATGATCCCTTGAGGTCCTTTGTTGTTAGAAAATTAAGCAGATAGTGGCAGCAGTCTAGTCTACCTGTGGGATCATGGAGAAGCACAGGAAGTGTTCTTACACAGTAGTGCGGTGCAGTGCTGTGCAGTGTGGTGCTGTGGTGCTGTGCGGTGCGGTACTGCTGTGCTGTTCTGTGCAGTGCGGTGCGGTACTGCTGTGCAGTTCTGTGCAGTACTATTGTGCTGTGCTGTTCTGTGCAGTGCGGTACTGTTGTTCCTATGCTGTGTTGTGCTGCTCTGTGCAGTGCGGTGCTGTTGTGCTGTGCTGTGCTGTGCTGCTCTGTGCAGTGCGGTGCTGTTGTACTGTGCATGAGGGGTGAGGGGTGTAGACTCTTGGTGAGCCTGGGCTCTGCCTTCACTCCGGACGCACTGGTAGCTCTGTGCTGGTGGTCAGGCAGGCAGCAAGGCTGTGCGAAGCGCCCATGAGGGATTTCCTTTCCTTGTGGTGCCTCCTGTCCGGCCACACAATTACAAATACAGCTTCAGAATCAGACACAGGGTGCCACTCGGACAGGCAGAGTGGTTTTGTAAACAACGGGGCTGCAGTTTCTTCGGATTTATACCAGAGAATCAGTGCTGCTGGCCGAGAGCTCTGCAGGTGTCTGATCTCTACCAGCTGAGCTCTGCTCGGCAAAGGGCACCAGTGTCATTCTCATCTTCTGCGTCTGTGGAGACTGGAGTTTTCGAAAGTGCTCGCCTCTCAGTTAAAGAAGCTGTGTGGTTCTGTGCTGTACTGTACTGTGCTATACTTTGCAGTACAGTCCGGTGCAGTTTTATTCTGTGCAGATCTGTGTGGTAGGGTACTGTACTGTATGGTGTGTGGTACGGTGCTGTACTGTGCTGTGTGGTGCTGAACGCCAGTCTGTCTGCCACGCGGGTCTCTACGGCTGCATGCTGCAGGCCAACCAGACTGCAGCGGCGACAATGCTCATCCTCTTTCGAGCGGCCTTTGTCTCTTGTTTTGTTCGTCTTTTTGTTTTGTCCCATTTTCCAACCTCTGCTTATTGAAGGCATTTCCACTTGTTTTGCGGTTTCACAGCAGGCCCTGTCCAAGCTGTGGTCCCTGCAGCTCAGCTTGTGCGGCCAGGTCAGTCCAGGTTTGGGGAAGGGCCACGTGCCGTCCAGGAGTGTATGTGTGGCTCTGCTGATCTCTCCTCTGCACCTGCGCTTTGTGCCCAATGGCACTCTCGAGGCTGTTGTGCCATCTTTACTGTACGGAGAAGCCTGTCTCCTGCTCGTCTGCATTGCGAAGTATTTATGAGGGGGGTGCCCATGGTGAATCTGCTGTTGTGTCTTGATTAACAAAGCATCTTAACTGAAAAAAAACAGTTTGTGCTTTGATGTTTAACAGCCCGCGTGTGGCTGCAGGCTGATTCAGGGCCTTGCAGGACCCTGCTGGGAGGTCTGGCTTGTGTTTCTGTATAACTCGGGACTGTTGGATTCTGTTGCATGCAGAAGCCTGGTGCTCAGTGAGGACCAGCAGTCAGGCAGTGAGTCCACCTGGCTCTGTGTGTCCACCCAGTGAGAGAGCACCCCCCACCCCCAGCTGCTCAGGTCCACCCTGCAGAGCGATTTGCCAGTGAAATCAGAGTTTTCATGCTCGTGCTTTTTAACTAGAAAGCAAACAAGAACTTTGCCCTTCTTCGTCTTCCTTGACTGCGTCAACAATTAAATCACTTGAAGCAGCTTTCAACGTAAATCGAAAACAGAAGTCTGCATCCCAGTCAGGGATGGCTTGCCTGGCAGTGGTCTTTTTCCTGTTGCACGTGAGCGTGGCGCACTGCGTTGTGGTTTTGCTGTACCAGTCCTTGCTGAGCTGTGAGAATCCAGCTGTTGAGGGCGAACAGCACCAGCGCGGTTGTTTCCCTGGCAACGGCGCTGTGGTGACAGATGCAGCAGGGAGCACCGATGGTGTTCTGGATGTGAAGGCGTTTGTGCGTCAGCAGTGTCCTGCTGCACACTCTCCCCTGGAATAGCAGCCAGCGCTGTACAGGCTGTGTGTTCTCATCAGAAGTGTTCCTTGTAGAAATCTTTATTTCACTTTTTTCTTTGAAAATCTGTTTTCCTTATCTTTGCTTTCCAACCTGTGGCCCGAGCAGGAAAGTTGATATCTTTCCCTTGAAAGACAGCAGGACGCCTGTGCTGCACTTCAGACAGGACAGGGAATCTCGTGGGGGTCCCTCTTGCAGCGCTGCTGTCCTGCAGGTTTGGGAATGGCGAAGATGCGCTACTCTCTGTCTGCTCACCCCCCTGTGTTTGCCTCTCTTGGACAGAACTCCCTCACGAGGAGCGCCCCGATAAACAGCGATTCCCAGGGGCGCTTCGGCACCCGCTTCCTCACCACCTACGACCGCCGCTTCATCATCAAGACCGTGTCCAGCGAAGACATCGCCGAGATGCACAACATCCTTAAGAAGTACCATCAGGTACAGCACGCCAGGAGGGTCACAGCACTGCTTCCTGAGAGATGGCTCAGTTTGTGAAGAAATACCTCTGTGTTTTAGGTTCAGAGCTCTTTGTGTGTGCTGCCTCAGTGCAGGCTCTCCCAGGTCCTGCTGAGAACTGCTTTCCGGGGGCCAGGGCATGAGAACGTGCAGGCAGTCAGCTCCCAGTGATGGCGCCACGGAGAGAAAGCACAGGGTCACTTGAGACCCTCAGAGGATTCTAAGTTTAGTGTTGGTTCCAAATGAAGATGGCAGCAGTACTGTTCTTGTCTGCCGCTGAAACAGCAGCTGTGTGAGCCAGCCAGGTGGCTGCGGGGGGTTTCTGAGCTGAGGTTTGGGTGGGACGCTTGGTCTGAAGCCTGCAGGTGGCGCTGTAGTGGGGCGGAGCCGGTCTCAGGGGTAGTCTGCTGCAGCTTCTCGCTCTTCTGTATGTCTCGGCAGAAGTACGAGTGGCTGCTCTCATGATTGTGGCCTCACTGACTGTAAAGAAATAACGGCAGTGTTTCGTTTCTCTGTGCTTCTGTCTCCGGTACCTCTCCCTCTCCACCTGCTCTTCCTGTCCTCCCCCGTGACCCCTGACCCCTCACCTCAGTTCATCGTCGAGTGCCACGGCAACACGCTGCTGCCTCAGTTCCTGGGGATGTACCGGCTGACCGTGGACGGGGTGGAGACCTACATGGTGGTGACGAGGAACGTGTTCAGCCACAGGCTCAGCGTTCACCGCAAGTATGACCTGAAGGTAACGATCAGGCAGGACAACACAGGACTGTGACTGGCCAGAAGTCAGGAGGAGAGCCATTACCTCATTAACTATTCAGTAATTAAGAGAGTCATTCTTTAAAATTATTTCTTATTCCAAAACTGCGAGGTCATATAATACCGAAGCTCAAGTCCTTGCTGAACCAACCTTGTCACTAGTGTGTGTCACGGGTGGCTTGTTTTTATTTTAGAATAGCCTGTTTTAGACACACTCCCGGCTTGGAATTTGTGGTTGTGTTTAGAGCCCCTGTGCCCCCATGGGGAGACTGAGTAGGTGCCTCTTTGCTCAAGTGTGGTACAGAAATACCGAGAAATGTGGTGAATGTATTGTATTAACATGGTAACAAGTGCAGAATGGGGCAGATAAACTACAAATTCCTAAGGGCTATTTATGGATAGTCCAGTTCAAAGAATGTCGAATTCCAGTGCAATGAAAATGTTTTTTGCTTTTAATCCTGCAGGGCTCAACGGTGTCGAGGGAAGCCAGCGATAAGGAGAAGGTGAGTTGTGCGCCATCCCCAATGTGTCTGAATTTCTTTCTTGGTGCACGTCTGTCTCATCCGCCCGTCCCTCTCCTCACAAACAGGCCAAGGACCTGCCCACCTTCAAAGATAACGACTTCCTGAACGAGGGACAGAAGCTGCACATTGGGGACGACAACAAGAAGATCTTCCTGGAGAAGCTGAAACGAGATGTGGAGGTGGGTCAAACGGAGGGCGGGGCTAAATGGTACTTGGGGCCGGGGCTAGGTCATGTTGGGTGTGGATTAGGATTAACAAAGGGGGTGTGGGGCTTGGTGTGCCTGTGGGTGGGGCTAGGTCAAGGCAGGGGTGGGGTGGGGCTAGGCTGGACAGGGGCGGGGTTTGGTGTGTTTGTGGGTGGGGCTAGGCCAAGGCAGGGGTGGGGGTGGGGCTAGGGTGGACAGGTGTGGGCTTGGTGTGCTTGTGGGTGGGACTAGGGTGGACAGGTGTGGGCTTGGTGTGCTTGTGGGTGGGACTAGGGTGGACAGGGGGGGGGCTTGGTGTGCTTGTGGGTGGGGCTTGGTCAGGGTAGGGCCTGGGGTTGCTGTGCTTGATTAGAGATTAACAAAGAGCAGTCGGTGGTTTTGACGTTTTGTGTAGCTCTGTGTCTCGGAATAAGACTAGGTTTTAAAATGCGTTAATTCACAGTTTTTAGCCCTTATGTCTTGAGTTATTTGAGGTAATCTGAAGGTTCTTTTCTATAAAAGAAGTTGTTTACTATAAAACTGGATTCTTCCTCTCTTCTCTTCCCCAGTTCCTAGCCACCCTGAAGATCATGGACTACAGTCTCCTGGTGGGAATCCACGACGTAGAGCGTGCGGAGCAGGAGGAGATGGAGGTGGAGGAACGAGGGGAGGAGGAGGAGTACGAGAACGATGGGATGGGGGGTGCACTGGGCACCGGCTCCTTCGGGACTCCGCCTGACAGTCCTGGAAACCCACTCAACTTCCCAGGTTTCTTCGGGCCGGGAGAGTTTGACCCATCAGTGGATGTTTACGCCATTAAGAGCCATGAGAGTAAGACCATCCTCCGCAAATCCCTGGTTTGGTATTTGATTAATTGAGCCGTGTTCATATAGTTCTTAAATTCATTGTGATGTGTACGTGCACGCAAGACTACATAATTAGCAGGAGCGAAGATGTGAATCAGACTCCCATCATTCAGTCCACCCTCCAGTACTAACAGTCACAACAAAGCAGAAGAGGCAGATTTGCACACTTGTTCTCCAGCAGCTCTGTGAAAGCCCTTGTTTTCAGCCCCAGTTGAGCCCTATGGTCCAGATGTTTCAGGTTCAAACCGGGGTCATGACAGAACCAGGACTTCCTGAGCACCAACACAGCTGAGCTGGCAGAGCACAGCTGGGTTCCTGATTAACAACTGTCATTTTCCCTCATTGATAAACAGTGACTGTTTCCAGTCCATAGTTTTTCACCTCTGAAGTAAGATGAGCTTTATACGTCCAGCGTCTTCTGAGCTGCAGGCCTCCTGGGCACATAGCAGCCTGCAGCTGGGAGGAGCTCTGGCCGTAGAGGAGGCCCTGTCTGTGCTCGCTGGAGCAGAGTGCCCGGGACCCCAGGCTGCCCTTCTCCTTTCTCTCAGTCCTGTGATGTTGTACTTGTATCAAGACCATTAGTGGGGTTGGTGACTCAGATTGTCAGTCCTCCATCCTGTAGAATTAGAACCTGTGCAGCTGGAATCAGGATCCGGTGTGAAGCTCTGGTGGGCAGCTCCTTACAGTCTCCCCATCTCATCCTGGTACTACCAGGGATGAAGGAGAATGTAGTGCCTTTTGTCCCAGGGGTTCCCAGGTCTCACTGTCACTGTCCCTCCCTCCCTCCACAGACTCCCAGAAGAAAGAGGTGTACTTCATGGCCATCATCGACATCCTCACGCACTATGACGCCAGGAAGAAAGCCGCCCACGCTGCCAAAACTGTCAAACACGGGGTACGTGCGCCGGGCTGTGCAGCAGTTCGTTAGCATGCGATTATCTGGGAGTGTTAACACCTCAGCTAGCTGTTCACTCCTGGTTTTCTGTTGACTGGGAAGGGGGCTGGTGGTGGAGTTGCTCCTGACTGAACCTCCATCCTGGATTTTGTCAGCTCTATTCTTCTCTGGCTGCAGAAGGAGCAGAGTCACAAGTCTCCCCTTGGTGCTCGCTTGTGCCCCCAGAGGGTCAGGGGCACTGGGGGGTCAGGAGGACAGAGGAACTGTGGGACAGAGGGTCAGGGGCAGTGGGGGGTCAGGAGGACTTGAGGGTCAGGAGGACAGAGGGACTGCAGGACAGAGGGTCAGGGGCAGTGTGGGGTCAGGGGGACAGAGGGACTGCGGGACCGAGAATCAGGGGTACTGGGGGGTCAGGAGGACTTGAGGGTCAGGAGGACAGAGGGACTACAGGACAGGTGGTCAGAGGCACTGGGGCACTGGGGGGTTAGGAGGACTGGAGGGTCAGGGGGACAGAGGGACTGCAGGACAGAGAACCAGGGGTACTGGGGGTCAGGAGGACCATTGGTGGTGGTGGAGGGGAGACCCCATTACCTGTAAAGTGCTTTGAGTGGAGTGTCCAGAAAAGCACTATATAAGTGTAAGCAATTATTATTATTATTATTATTATTATTATTATTATTATTATTATTATGTAATAAACCTATTACTTGTTCCTTTGCAGCCTACGCATGCAGACGCAGCTACGCACCTGAACTTATATATCTGTGTTGTTTTTGTGTTCGATCCGGACAGGCCGGAGCTGAGATTTCCACAGTGAACCCTGAGCAGTACTCCAAACGATTCTTCGAGTTCATGTCCAACATTCTGTCGTAGTACCACCGACCCCCCCCCCCGCCCGCTCCACAGACACGCCCCCCACCCGCCTCCCCTGTCCCCCTTGCTGGTGTCCCGCCTCCCGAAGACGCACGACATTCGGAGACCGGAGCGGCAGGAGACCGCCACGAGGAATAAAGGAAAGAGAGGATTTCGTCGCAGCGCCTGGGACCCTGAGGCAGCACGCGCATGCGTAAGCAGTGTGGCGCCATGGCGCCTCCTACAGGGCCAGGTGAGGAGGGCAGGAGAGGCATCAGCCCTGAACTCTTGTCACCGATGCCTTGGGGTGTCTGATCACGGTCGCTTCAGCAGTAAGAGTCCGGTCTTGTTATTTTGGGGTTTTGTTGTATTTTTTTTCACATTGCTTTCTTTCATGTTCTTTTTAATGTGTTTTAACACTCGCGCCAAGAGCATGGTGTCCTTACAGCCCCTTTGACAAAGAGGAAAAAGCCCTTGTTCATCCACAGTAACAATTAAAGCCACTGGAACCCTATGAGAACTGCAGCTAGTTTAAAAAGAAAAGTAAAAAATATATAAATATATAAATAAATGTATAAAATATTAACTGAGTGAAGCATGTCTGATGTGTAAACAGTGTAACTGTCATTCTAATTCCACCTCCCAGCTGAAGGTCTAAGCACTGATCTTAGGTTCCTAAATATCCTTAAACTTGTTTCATTGTCGTTGCTCAAAACATTGAGTTGCCATATGTTTTTAAAAGCTCAGAACAGCTGCATCTTTTATCAATAAAAATAAAAGTTAACCAGAGGGGAAAAACAGCAATTTAAACAAAAGAATGAGTTTTATTACAGAGTATGAATCAATGTTTTATATATTGTTTACATTAAAATATGTAGCATTTTTTGTGTTTGTATACAGTATTGTTTTACCAGCGAATGTTAGAATGGTTACTTGAAATTTATGCATTGCATAGTAAAGGGAGTTTCTGTTTCTTTTCTGTTTTTGAGCGCAGGGCTCTTGGCTGTCCCAGCGGGAGGTCCTCGCTGTGTTACTTTGCAAAATAAAGTTTGTGGAAGAATTTTACCTCAGCAGATAGCTGATGCCCCGAGCTCTATTATTCCTTCTGCTCTGGTTTACAAGAGCACCAGAATAGAAAGGTTGTGAAGTGAAATCTGTGAGCCCAGGCGTGTCCTGGAGCGCTGTGCATCCTTGCGGAATGCACTGGGAGACAGAAATGAAGTGGGAATTCCACAGGGAGGCAGACTACACACTTGACAAAATGACAACCACAGAGCATCTGGGCAACAGAGAGTCCATAGACTTCCAGAGTCTAGGGATAAAGGGACACAGGCTGTCCCTCTACCCTGAGTCTCCTCTACCCTGAGGACAGCGCTGGTCCACAGTCTCCTCTACCCTGAGGACAGCGCTGGTCCACAGTCTCCTCTACCCTGAGGACAGCGCTGGTCCTGTCCTTTCCAGCCTGTGCAGTGATCCAGCTCTCTGCTCGTCCCTCTTCATATTCATGGGTACAATAGGATTTAACCACCTGTGAGGGTTGTGAGTTCCAAGCACACTGCTCTATTTAAGGTGCTCCTAAAGTGAGTCAGAAGGATGAGTTTTTAGCCTCCCTGCTTTCCCATGAGCATCTCTGCTGGGCCTCAGGGAGTCGTTTGGCAAGCTACACATTTCCTCTTGTTGAGTCAATGTAGATCGTGCAGTTTTGCCACCCTAGTGTTGCTAAGCGTAGTGCAGTCTTGGGACAGAAATTTTGCTCAGCATTGAGAAGGCAAATTCTTAGTAAAAATGTTTCAACGACGGCATGGGTTTTGCATGGACGGCCAGTATCATGTGGCACATTGCTGGAGGTAGGAGCTGAAGAATTTGTGGGTGGGGCTTGATTTGTAAAGACCGATACAGTCTCAATTAGGATCGAAGCTTTAAAGCACAATCGGCATTTTCCAGGAGTCTGTTACCAAAAACACTGTAAAAGTGATGTAACTTCAGGTTCATGTGCTAATTCTCTATGAGATGTCGCTCTTCTGTCACAGTGCCTCTGACCTGGAACTGCTTGCTTGACAAGTTACCCTTCTGCTCCACAGCAAGCTGTTCTTTCACACCATGCTGGCTGGTTTGTAATCCACTCTTGTTAGACGATCTTACAGGTTTACAGTCGGACAGACTTCAGGAAGCTCTTGTCACCCCCTCACACAGTTCCTGGAAGCTGGTTTTAAAGTGTTTCTATTGTCTGTAAATGAGTGTTTTTGTTTTTATTCCCTCCCCTGTCCCCAGCCCTTTCTTTACTACGGGATGTTGAAAATAAAATGAACAGTCAGAACATCTATGAACCAGGCAAGCCTTCTGTGGTTTTGTATTTCTTAGCATTTTGGGGTTTAGAAGACAATGGGGGGGGGGCTTGAGTTTGGAAACAGGTCTGTTAGCATCATTAATCACCATTAAAATGAAAGCTGCAGGAGAGGAGTCGATGCCCCTGGTTTCACGCTGCAGCTGCACTGTTGAAACTCTGGATCTGCTGTGTGTGTGCAGCCCTCAAACCCAGAGCAGAGCAACTCTCGCTGGAGCTTGCAAAACCAAAGACAACAGCTCTTCCAAGGGGCTTGTGGACAGCTGTACCAGAAATAAGCTCTCATTTCTGCAGGGCAGCACAGTGTTTAACTGTTTAACTGGGGCCCTGGGTTCAATTCTGGATAAGTGGTACAGTCTGTATGTTGCACCTATATTCAGGTGGGTTTCTTCCCACAGCCAAATGATGTACAGGTAGGTGAAGTGACATCTGGGAAAACTGGTCCTGCTGTCAGTGTGTGTGTGGACCGTACAGCATGCATATTGTATGCTGGGATAGGCTCTGGCTGCCTGGTAACCATGAATTGAAGCAGTAAGAAAATGTGTTTCTGCAGGAGTTAGAACCCCTCTGGCTCTTAGCTGGAGATGCCAGGGAATGGTCTGCTGTCCCTGCCTTACAGGACCCTCGCTATGCAGTGCACTGGGAGAATGTGGCCGATGTCCTGCAGCACAACCACTCAAAACCCACTGGGCCTGTGCACAAGCCTGTAAGCTCCTGTCTGGCTCAGTAGCCAATGCGTTCTGGGTTTTTCAAAAGCTGCACTGAAAGGGTAAAAACGTAGCATGAGACGAAGTAGATGTGAAAAAGAAAAAAAAAAGTGTTGCTCTGAAACAATAAGATGTGATGGCCTTCTAATGGCACAAATTCCTATATTTTAAATGCTACAATAGCCTCTAGTTACAGTACACTCACAGTGGGTTGTTGCTGACAACGTGTCTTAGTGTCAGCAGAGCACTGGAAAATGATGTTTTACAAATCACCAAGTGCCGAATTTTTACAATACAGCCCAACAGAGGTGGATGCAATGACTTAGCTCTCTGCGAATGAAAACCACTGCCGAACCTCACCAGAGAAAATAAATGTAAAACGACATGGGGAATCATCTCACAAAAAAAAACTCTGAATTGTTTAGTGAGTATTTAATCACTGACAATACAAACAAAAGGGTTTAGAAAATGCAGCAGGTATTTCATATGGACGTGGGGTCATCCAGAGGAGAAAGTGGGTTTAATCCATGCGAGCTTTGAGTGTCCTGGTTGTGATCTTGTCCTTCTCACTAGAAACAGAAGTAAACAATGTGCATTATGGGCGGCATTAATTTACTATGGTGCACAGACACAGCTTCCCAGTTTCATCTGAAGTTCCCTAAACAATTTCTACATGCTCTAATTACCAGAATTAGATCAGCAGGAGAACCATCCTCCAGGAATCAAAACTGTCAGCATTCGAATTTCATTAATATCCTTTGTGCCCCGTCAGGATCTCCCTGGTCTGTTTTTCCTAATTGAACAGTTTTCTCCCAAGTTAACAGACACACACCTCTACAGAGAGCACAGCCTGTGTGCCATCAAGAGTGTCGCACAATGCTTGTTCAGTCTGTTTGCAAAATCACTTTCCAAAACTGATTTATAGTCTTTATCACCCATTACTAGGCTACTGGAGGACAACTAAAGGAGAATATCCTAGTTAGGGATATAAACTTGAGTGGTGATAAAAAAAAAACACAGTTTTGTACTTACATGACATGAACTACGACTCCCATCCCAGACACGGCATCTCTGTCGACTGCGTTCAGCATGGCTTGTGAAATGGTCTCAAACAGGTCCTCTGGCTCCTGGTGGTCAGAGACCTCAGATTAAAAGGGAGCATCTTTCTGCTCATATTATCTCCAACTCCACAAACTACAGGAAATTCACATTCAACCAAAAAAACTGCCTGGACTCCAAGGAATGTGAAAAACAAGTTAGCTTGTGGATCAGTGGAGAAGTCAGTATATAATTCATAAACAGCCAAACTCACAGCTTTTTAACAATGTATTTAAAAGCAGTAGATTTGGGGAAAAAGCTATAAAACAATGACATGTAGCCACTAGTGGCAGGTGTATTTTGGACTGACTGGAGGAGGTGTTTTACAAAAAGACACATGGAGGCATGAGAACAGGCTACACAGCTATCCTGTAGGAGCTGACGAGACAGCTGGATGAGACTCTGAGGCCTCACAGCTGACGGAGCAGCAGACACGCTCCTCCACTCTGCAGCTCTGCGAGCGCGTCTTGTCCGTTCGGAGCGTTCGGACATTGGGCTCCGGGAGGCTTTAGGAACTGACCATGTCCGGCTCCCAGAGGGACTCGCACATGCCGTACATCTGCTCCGAGCAGGTGCCGCTGACCACAAAGTCCTCCGTCACCATGGGGCAGCCAATCAGGTCCAGGGAGCAGATGAAAGGCTGGAAGGTTTTGGGATCCAAGCCAGCGATCACAGGCTCAATGTAATACGGCCCGAACCTGGAGAGAGGGGAAGAGTAGGACATACCAGGCCAGGAGAAAAACAGGAAAAGTTAAAATAAAAAGACACTCAGCTGCTCTCGCCAGAGAGACAATAATGATTTTAGTAAAACACTGCAGTGACTGTAAAGCTTTAGGGATTCCTCCAGATTAAACTGTCCTCATCAACAAGGGCCCCAGCCCTAACCCCATGTAAACAGCAAGTGAATGCTGGGTGTTGGATTCAAAAATTAGTCTAAAAAAAACATCACCCCACATCTGAAAATGGGTAAATCACTTGAGCATTACTTGAACATTACCACAGACGCTGGGCTGAGCAAGTTTCCAACAGATTTACAAGACTTGCTGACAAATTAGTATAGTTTAACAATTTCAGTGACATTTGATAATTGACCCAGTAAACTTGATACAGACAGAACATTAACACTCACGTCTACATCTGTATGCTTTTTACCACAAAGGCCACATAAAGACAAAGCACCGCGTCCTACAGACTTGGAGCAAGGCAAGCAGCCAAAGGGGCTGCAATGCAGGAGACTGAAGACGAACAACTGCATCATTCTGCAGAGTGGGAGCTGGACATCACGCTTGCCCCTGCCCTCTCTGAGGGTTACTGAGTGCCCTTGGCTGCAGTCTGTCAGGCGAAGCAGACACTGCAGAGCTCCAAGCCAGAAAGCCAGAACTATGGCCAATCTGGACCGGATATGAACCTGTAGAGACGATATGGTGGCACAGTCCAGTGGACACGCCTCTAGACAGGTGGCCCCGCACAGGGTGAAGAGGGAGAGCTGCTTCTCCCTCCCACACAGACCCTCTGCCCTAAACCCACCATGCAGAGGCACACTGAAACTGGATGCAGATCTGCAGCACCCAGCTAGCACTATGATCTTCTTGAAATTCACATCACACTGCCCACAGCTATGCTCTTATAGCCTGGTGCAAATAAAGAAAACAATCTGGCCTGTTCAGAAAAAGCCTAGCTTTGAAAGTGCTTAAGGGAAATCTTGGTGGAAGCAAAAATAAAACATTACAGCAGACTGCAGTTCAGAACGCACTACATGAGTGTATAATCAATGTACGCTTCAAGACAGCTCTGTAAGACCTCACTCTCAAGCTCAATGTTTTTATCTTCATCTTTAATCTTTATTTTGAGCACATGTCAACACTGAGACTCGAGTTCACAGCAGCCAAGTTGTGCGAAACCTGGAACGCCCATCAGTGCCCAACTCACCGTCTCTCATACAGCAGGTTGGACACCATACTCATGAAAGTCTTGGGTTTGATCTGTCTTCCCTCCTTCAGCTCGTACAGGTTGAGCCTGAATTTCAAACGCTGGGCCCTGCAGGGAGAACGGCAAGAGGTCACAGACAGATCCTGGACAGCTTGACCCCAAGTCCACCCGTATAAATACCCTCCCAGCACAGATAGTCAGGGCTGCTGTCTCAACGTCTCACAGGGTAACAAACCCCAGCACGAGATACAGGATATTAAATAATTTGAAAATTTAAAAACCACCACTGGGCATTCAGTAAGAGGTTCATAGTGTGCAAGTATGGTCTGGACAGGTGCTCTACAAAAGGACTTAAAGAAGTGTGAATTATTTAACAGTTGGCAATAAGAAACAGTTCATTTACTTAAAAGGCTCCTCATTTCTATCACGATGTAGACGCAGAAGAGTGGCAGAGTAGCATGATAGAGACTGCTACTGCCTCACAGCTCAAGATCCTGGGTTTGATCCTGGGCTGGGGTGCATTCTGTGGAATTTATATGTTCCACATGTTTTGAGTAACACTGTGCGTCAACACAAAAGGGCACAAAACACAGATGTCAGCTGGAAATCTCACGCTTCGTACACATAAGGCATCGAGGAGGCACTTGGCATTGATAGCATACAGCAACACACAG